AACAATACATTGTAAAAGTTTTACAGCTCATGCAGATAAGTGCAAAATTAATCCCTGCAGAACAAAACAATTTTAAAAGTACACAATGAAGCAATTAACTAAAAGGGGAGGAAAACTACTGACAATTAAATATGGGAGGAATCTTTACATGTATTACTTTTTCAATTAGGATGTTTTATAAAGGCACAATTAATGTTAAATGAGGTCTATGAGACAGTTAATGATGAATTCAAAAGTAAGATTTAAGGGAAAATTTACATTTTAAAAATCAAGAGGACTTCTAGTTATGTTAAAGCCTTTTTATTTTCTTCTAAAAATTCTTTTAGATTGTGTATGGGGTGTTTTTGTAGGCTGTTTACAGTTCCATATTATCAGCTTGGTTCTGGAGAAAGGCTGTCATCACACATGAAGTTTACCTGAAAGCATGAAAGGCTGGTATGATGATGAGAAGTAGAATAGTCTTCAGAAAACTCATAGGGCTTCAGTAAAACAGATGAAGTAATTTTAAAAATCTCTTTCCAGTCTCTGATATACAACAGAATGCATGCTGTTCTGAGCTCTGACTGTTGGCAGTCAATTGAAATCGTTACACCCCCATTTCCCACTCTGCAGGAGTATCCACAGGGTCATGATTTTCTTCTCCAGCCCATTCAGCATCTAGAAGCAGGGAGTAAAACAGAGCTTCAGTAAGCAGTGTTTTGTTTGTTTGTTTGTTTGTTTTTTCTCTTCCTGGCTGCCTGTATTCTGATTTTTCAAATTCTGCATTTACATGACTCAGGCCAGGACTCTGCAGTTAATTCTACTGTTATGGCAGACTTCTTCAATGGGAGGAACCTGTTCAGGAACACTGCAATAAGAATAACTGCACAGGGATTCTTGGTGAATTTGGGGAAGGTTAGCCAAACCCAACAGTACTTACTGTAATTATTACAATTATTTGGTGAACGTTATCTGACTTTAGTGGAGATACACCTAAATAAAGATTCATGTGTTTCATCGAGTGACTACAGTTTTTAGGATTACAGAGCCAGATATACAAATATACATGACAACCCCAAAACCCTCAGGGTCCAATCCAAAACCCACCATATGCTACTGCAAACATGAACGTGGATTTCAGTGGGTTTTGTATGTGACCATCCTCCCTATCCTTTCTTCAGTCAGTTGTCAAAACACCAAAATAAAAATGCAGACTCAAAATGGTCGCAGACCCTGCTCATGGTATGGAATAACAATAGCTTTTTTCAATTTGTCTGTAAAGCATCAAGCTTATTATTGACTAATGCTAAATGGTTATTGATAACGTCAACGGTAAACAAGATTCAGATTTTTTTTTTGCATTAAATTGTTCCCCAAAATATATGTTTAAGATAATTGGTTCCTATTTGTTTTGTATCCATAGTAGTAATTAATTCACACTGACTTTTTGTTTGTTTGTATTTTTCTTCAGGGTATATCTTTAACGAGTTCTTCTAATTTCATCTTTAGCAAACTTTACAGAAGCTAGATACTGCTTCAGCTTTTTGAGAAATCCCAACAAACCACTTAATTATTAAAATGTTTTGTTTGCAGTCCAAATGAAATGACGGTTTCAAACAAGGTCACATAAGTTCTCAGAGAAACTGCATGATCTGTGTAAATATAATGAGTGCAGTACATGCTAATAAACTGCTCAACATCGTGTAGGTTTTTTTTTTATTAGATTAAGCTTCCACAACATGAAAAGAACACTCAGTAATTAAAGAGATAAAAAGAAACACTATTAATGAGGAAGTTTTATATCATTTTATAATGAAGTATAAATTAAATATTCAAGAGAGACATCAGCTTCAGAATTGTAATTGTTTTGATTAAACATGCAAATTCAAATATGTTTAAATGCAATTGAAAATAATTTACTAGAGGATGTGGATTTAAAAACACATAAATAGAACTGGAGATTCTTTGTCTAGTAAAGCATTTTCCAGAAGTGAATGGAATTTGCTTTGAGAAGTTATGACAAGATTAATGTAGACATTTGTAAGGATGTCACCCATCTGTGGTCCACACTGCAGGCTGTGCAACTGCTGTCATTACTGCCCTTATTTTGATGGGAATGAGTGATGGATGAACACAGTGATATTAGGGCTTATACCTGTAAAAATGCTTATGGAATCCATTTGGTGTGTTACTGCTTCTGCATCTGTCCTGTTTGTGCTGTCCCACTGGTCTGCCACCTGTGGTGGTCCTTTACTCCTTTAGCAGATTGTTGTGTTGGGCCATGACTTAGTTCTCTCTGCAGTGCTTTATGTGTCTTCCGCTTTCCTACTTTCAGTGTGAAGAATGTGTTTCTTGTTTGCTCTATGGGGCTACTTTACCCTTGCTGCACATAAATTCATGCAGATCTAATTCATGCAGGTCTGATGGGAGGTGTCTCTGCCCTTGGCAGGGAGGTTGGAACCAGATGATCTTTAAAGTCCTTTAAACCCAAGCCATTCTATGATTTTATGATATACTGCTAGTCCAGTTTTGGTTTATGTGAATCACATTTTCATGGATTGCAAGAGTTTTTTGCTCAGAAATGATAGGGTTTGCTTTTGAAGCTGTTCAATACAACACGTGTGTTCTGTCAGCATCTGTATTGACAGCTCCTTCTTAGCATTAAATTTTTAAGTTAATCCACAGTTATTGTAGAGTAATTAATTAGTCTTTAGAAATAGAACAAAGATTGTCAGTGTCTGATACAAGGGGGTGGCCACCAGATTTGGTTTATTAGAGTTTATTCAGGTACTAGGTAGTTCTTATTTACAAACTGTATGGAAGACTTGGTCAACTTGGGGTGTTTTATGAAAGCACATATGACTTCATTATAAAGTCAAATTAGATTTTACCGATTAGTGAATCTGTACTAAAATTACACATGAATGCACTCTTTGAATTTTCATATTCTGGAAAAAAAAAATGAGATATGTGGAAATACAGCTTCTTATAGACAGTGAACTGGCTGAGCTTGTTGTTAAGATGGCATTCAGTTCAGACTTAACTGAAAATCCCACAAAAGATTTCGTGTTAACTTGTTGTACTTGGAGAGAGGCCATCCCTATTTAAAATTAGCAAAGGCTAGGCAGAGTAGGCAGGGCATGTAGTAAGTGAATTGTGTTGACATAGGCTAAGTTATGACCATCTCCACGTCTTTCTTGTATTTTATTAAACTAATTTAAACAGTGTACAGTGAGTAACTGAAAATTTATAGTTGGATGTCAATGCTGTACTGAGATATAGCTTGGATCGCAAGCAGGCATTGAGTGAGCAAAGACTCACTCTACTTCACACTTAAACTTTATTACGAAATATAGCTGAACCATTTAGAATTAAACCATGGAGAAACTAGTATTTTTGTTAGCTTGGTAAACTGGATTGCCCACTTTATATGAAAATTAAAAAGAACACAAATGCTATTTCAAGATTATTACTTATTCCTGTGCCAGATCAATGGCCTATTTCTTTTTAAATATTTATGAACATCTCAGTTTCGCTTTGATGTTGGTAGTGATTAAATTTATGTATTCTTACAGTTTTCCAAGTTAGGGACACAAGACATGCTGAAGTCTTTTCAGCTCCCTTCTTGACTGTACCATAGGTCCATGGGATAGCTGATCTTCCGGAGAGCTTTGAAAATCAAGGCTCTATCTCTTCTCCCAGCATATGCCAAATGCAATTAGGCACCGGTTCAGAAAAGGCTTTGTAAACATTCTGAATCCATGCCACATTTTCTGGTCTCAGGTGCTGCCAAATATCTAAATGCTGTATTCAAGCCAGATGTCTAAATATATAAAATGAATGACTGAACAAAGTGCCTCCTTAGTAGAGCCTATAGGGCAGACATACTTGAAGGGTCTGAGACCAGCTCCAGATTGTGAATTTCTGCCAACCCACATCCCTGAGCACTGGCATGGACACCAGATTATACACTCTTGGATGAGCTGGACAGGGAAAGGAGCACCTCGCTTTCATTTTTTTGCTATTTTGGTATACAACACCAAACCTCAGGAATCTCTGCTAGCAGTATCGTAAGACAAACTCCTTCATTCTCATAAGGCATGTATCAAAAGGCAAACTCCTTCATGCTTACTTTTCAGTGCAGTATGCCTATCTCTGGAACACTGAGGGACTTGTTTGATAGGATCAAACAGTTTGAGTACATACAGGTTTTCATATGAACAGCATCCACTAAGCCATTAAGAATCTGCTGTCTTGATCTTTTTAGGAAATTCACATAATACAAGATGCACAGGAAAAGAACTTGCATGTAAAGTATTTCAGCTACATCACTGACTGTTAAGGCTTCAGATGTTGTTTTCTCTTGAAGTGAAAGCAAAGAAGGAAATCAGAAATTAATATAATACTCATGATAAATGTTATGCGCATTAGCTCAACTGTGATACTGGTCAAATCTGAAACACACTTGAGCAGGTATACTAACCTACATTATAAGTGTATTATCATTTGTAAGAATAACGTGTGTTGAAATTGTTCACAGAACATTTTAACTAGATAATCTTCCTAATCTTTTGCACTCCCCAAAAGAAATAAACTTGATCCTTTCTATGTTTACAGAAATAGCATAAGATGAATATATATGATCTTAAAAATTCCATTGGGTTAGTTTCTCTGTAATGTAAGGCTGGCTAGCCCCAGATTCTGAACATTGCATGTATGTGTTGAGAGGGACTGTGCAATCTAAGAGAAATAGCTGCAAGGCTTTAAAACTTGAACCCAGATGCTATTGTATTTGGATGCCTTATACATAATTTTATTAATAATCTTGAGGATAGCTAAATTCATCCCAGAAGATTGTAATGGGTGGCTAATGGTAATATGCAAATTCTGTAGGAAGGTAAGTAGTGGTAATAATTCATGGTAAGGGAAGGTAATAATTTTCTCCTCCCACAACTGTCTAAAAACGCCACTGGCAGTGGTATAGGGAGCTGTCACTAGCAGGCTGTATTTTCTCTTCCTAGGTGTGGCAGTGTGGTGGGAGTGTTGAAGTTCTACCTTGCTCAAGGATTGCCCACATTGAAAGAGCACATAAACCATACACAGAAGATCTAACTGCTCATGTCCGGAGAAATGCACTAAGGGTGGCTGAAGTCTGGATGGATGAATTTAAGAGCCATGTCTACATGGCATGGAACATACCTCAAGAGGTAAGTCACAAAAGCCTGTGTTTGCAAGCTTTGGGTTTACAGCATTTGGGATTTGGTTCCTACTCTGAATTTTGATTTTCTGCTAGGAATTTTTTTGTTGTTATTTGTATACATGTGTAAATATATGTCTTAGGTATAGACATAAAATATGTCTCTACATATATTCTTAAATACAGACATACATTCATAAATGTATGTAGCTGTATCATATTCTAGAAGTGATTCCTTTGTCTGCAGGTTCCTTAAAAATGAATTTCTTGACAACCTCACTGACAATTCTGCATGGAGACTAAATTTAAACTAGTAGTTGTAGAAGAAAAAAAAAAAATTTCCCAGATTTTGAAGGGAAGCTACTAAAGGGCAAGGAGTGTTAACATCTATCAGTACAAAAGTGGTTGTATCAGTTGTTATTATTTATTAAATGGAGGTGTCCTGACTGCACCAATGTATTGGGAAATAAGCCTTTTATACTAAATTTTAGAACTAATTTGTTAAATAAATGAAATATAAATGTAGTTTGTGGATTGAATTGATTTCTTCAGGTCACCAAGTCTGTCAAGATGTTTGCATGCTAGATCTGGTACTGGCAAAACTGATTTAATTTATAGTTTCAAAGAGGGAAAAAAAAAAAGTATTCTTACTTTTTTCTTCCATGTCCATTATTTTTCAACCACAATTGCACTAATCATTGCACGAAACTGCTTAAATAGCTTGTAATGCAGATTATATTCTCTTTTCATTTTCACAAAGGCTATTGCTGTCAAACAGCAGTGCAGACTTAAAAGCTGGAGACGGCAAGTGCTAAATCGGTTTTTAATAGTACTAGCCTCTTCTACAATGTAAGGAGTTGTCTTTGTTGTAGGGTAAAATCTATTAATTTTACCCTACAGAACCAAGCATAAACAGCCAGTATCTACAGAACCATGCATAAACAACCTTCATTTTTATTTCTTACCACTGTCAAAAACTAAATAAGCACATACATAGCCACATATTTATTCAAAATACACAGGGAAATGTCTTATTTTTCACAACTGAAATAGACCTTTAAAGCCTGAGAATACTCATTACCTAGTAATTACTACAGGATGTTTGGAGACAATATGGGACCCTTATGACCATCAGAGGTTTTCCCTGTCAGATGGGGTCTGCACCTTAGAGGTGAGCCCATTCAAGTGATGTTCATCCAGCTTCCGTCTTTTGCCATATGGAAAATTGCGAAGGAATTAAACAAGCACTGGGACTTTGTTTTGTTCTGACAGTCTGATGTGTGCTCAAGTACCCCAAGTCAGTTGTATAATTCAAAGCTGTTTTAATCATCTTTGTGTTCACTGTGCGAGGCCTGGTGCCAGAATCAGGTCATAAGCTCTTAGGAGCTTTGGGACTTTCTTTTCCTTTCCCATGCTAAATTTTGCTAGTACTAAACAGATTCTAGAGCAGTAGGAATTGGGCATGTGTTTAAGAAAGTCTTCTGACCTTTTACAGGGAAGAGGAAAATAGCACAAAACTATACTTACAGGCACTGTAATTGAATCAGTCAGTATATAAAGAAAATCTACGTCATTAGTGTGAGACTGCTTTTGTACATCAAAGGGTTAGGAGCAATGCAGTCTCCAGCTGGTATAAAAACATCATGAGAAAGGGGTATGCAGTGTAAAGTTATATAAAAAATAACTTACATCTTGTGGGACACTTTTAATACAGACTTCCATTAGGCAGGGTGCAAAGATGCACTCTATGAAAGGCTGGATGGGGATGGACTAGGTCAAATTCAGATATCGGACTGGGTAGCAATATTTTCGTTTCATCTTTGCTTATCTCAAGATTAAAGGTGAAATGCAGAAGAGAGAAAATCTTCAAAACAAACATAGCATAAGCTGAGCCAAAAGATGTCAATACATGATCGTGAGAGACGTGCAGAGGACAGATGGATAGCATGACTAAGTACAGTTTTACAAGCGGATAACTACAGCAGTAATTGTCTACCCAGAAGCAGATGAAATAGTGCACTGGTAATGGACAGAGTGGATCATTTAAATGTAGTTATAACAGTTGGGACTTTCCATAAAATATGTTATTCCAAGATGTTAACCACATGGCCTGTTTTTTCCATGGAAGAATTCCCAAATCTGTGGAAAGCCCCACGATCCAATGTTTCCAAAGATTTTTGTCTTTGAAAGCTAATAATAATAAAGGGAGTTTGACTCATTTGGCAGTGTGAAATGACTGCCCTCTTGGGATCTCTGTGTGTGGCTCTGAAGTACTGAAGGCTTCTAATGGGGATCTCAGATACCATGGTGATTTCTGCATCATAACTGCTTAGATAAATAGATTTGGAAAAGCACTTAAAACCCCAAGGAAAGATTTTTCAAGTGTCAAAAACAAGCTATGCTCTGCATGTGTCCTCTCCTATGTTTTTTTTTTTTTTGTTTTTTTTTTTTTCCTCCCTTCCCATTACATTCTCCACTTTGAAGGAACACACTCAGTTGTTCCTGGTGTTAAAGCCAGTGTGCCATGTGTAAGCTGTTTTCCATTTCCAGCTGCATGGAAGTATGTGATTACTGAGGCCCCAGATGCCCTTTCTTACCTCATACAATAAAATGTGAAGAAACAAACTTTGCTTCATGCAAAGTTGCATGAGAAAGGAGCAGGGATGCAATAGACCAATTTAGAGGGGAGGGTGTTTTTTTTTAAATAGATATCTTGTGCCTAACAAAATTTTTGGGATATTTATTGCCCAGCAAAGTCTGCTATTTAAAAGAAAGATTATTTATCCTGCATTTTGTTCTGAGGCAGAAGAACATAGAGCAAAATGTCTCACTTTACTTCCTGTCAAACATCAGCCATGGATTTGCACTTAGATCTCTCTCTAAAAATTTCTGTTGCATGATTTTAATGTGATAAAGTATTGATTTTTATATACAAGGACTTTATGAAACTCACGTTTTATGATCTACAAAGAAGTATGTCACATGAAATTAGGTTAGCCAGAAACGTAAAGGGGAATAAAAACTGGGGGAGAGAACATTCTGCCATTGCTTCTAACAAAAATATCAACTTCTCTTTTTACATTACCACAGAAATATAATAAGTGATATTTCAGAAAGGTGAGCAGAGCTTCTGCTCTTTCCAGTGAAGCAATAAACCCAGACTTCAGAAATGACCAGAAAGTGTAATATACTAATGATTAGACAACAGTGGGATGCCAGCAATAAAGTTGTTTCCAGGGCTACTTGCTTCCTGCTGCCAATTGCTTTTGGATTTGGAAAGTGCCAGGAAATTAGAGAACAACAGTTATATTCATTGAAAGCTAGATCTAAACCCCACTGATTTCAGTAAGAGTGTTTCCTTTGACCAGAGCAGACTTTGAAAGAGACTCCACCATGGTGACCTATATTATATTTGTTAAGGGCACTTACAGAATGTGTGGGTAACACAAACACTCTGTGGCCAGGCAGGCTGGTGATTATCATAAGTCCTGGTCATCTTTGCAATGAGGAGAGACTCTGAGTGATCAATTTATACAGAAGAAAGTGTATCACTGTTGTATTTCCTACTTTTTCTGTTCTTTATGTGCAGGACTCTGGAATTGATATTGGTGATATTTCTGAGAGGAAGGCCCTGCGGAAGAAACTCCAGTGCAAGACCTTTAGGTGGTATCTTGTCAGTGTGTATCCAGAAATGAGAATGTATTCAGATACTGTTGCCTATGGGGTGGTAAGGATCTTGTTTACATTTCCTATTTTAAAAAGGTGTTGGGGAAAAAGGGAGTAATCATGGAAGTAATTCATGAAGACAATGCCTGCCTCCAAGTAAAATAATAAGATAAACTTTAAGTCACTAAATTATTTGTTAGACTGGTTAGTTGACAGAGATTGCTGCTCTGCTGTAGTTCATGCTGAGATACTCTGTACGCTGTCTTCATCCCAGATATTTTTTTTTTCATTTTGTTCCATGGCTTGCATTCCATTCGATATTGAAAACATGATTTTTTAGGCATATTGGAGATGTCTGTTGGAAGGATTGCAATCAGCAGGTGAATTAACAAAACAGGCTCAAGATCTCAACTGCTGGCTACTTAATATTGTAGCCAGCGCCTCAAATGTTTCTATTTTGGGATTATCATTGTCATTACTTGTGTGACACTAGTACCCTTGTCTGTGTTGAAATCATGCTTGAGTTGCACTGTGCTAATTAAAGCAGAGACAATTCTTGCCCCTAGAAAACCGACAATCTAAACAGAGAGGATAGGTGTGCATGACATGGAAGATGAACATAGTAAGTTAATATGGGCACATAATAAGCTAGTAGAGTGAGGATGTCCTTTTCACATTCTCTATCCAGTATTATATTCACAAGAAATTTATTTCTGTGAATTCAATTTGTTGTTTTTTGTTTGTTTGTTTTTTGCATGCACATAACAGTTAGTAAATGTAACCACTAAGAGTTATAGTTACATCTCATACAAGTGAAAGATTTTGTTTGAGACATTTCTCTCCAAAAAGAAGTCTGAGTTCTGCAGTTTGCCAATGTGCCTCTGAGAAGACTGTGAATGTCCCCTAGAGCAGCAGCGCTTTTACAGCAATTAAAGTGATTATACATGTATGCCCCACAAAGTTCCATGACCCCTTTGATGATCAACTGAAATGATTGTGCTGGCTTTTCGTACAACCCACAAAGAAAACACTTCCAACAAAGATTTAGGCCATTGTTAAATGTGTGACATAATGGTTAACTTCCAAAATAGCTCAAAACAATGCCAAAATCAGACCTGTGTGCAAGGAGCCTCTTCCATTGACTCAGCGGTACCATGATCATTATTAGATGGTGGTGCAGAATTTCCTGAGGAGAAGGAAGTATAGCTGCTGATAGGTGCATGATTCTGCTTGCAGGTACAGATTAGATAAGGTACTTGTTGCATAGTCTTAGTATTAACTCAGCATCATGTAAAACAAAATGAAAGACAGTGAACAGTCACCTATGATTTTATATTCTGCTAAGACTTTTTCATTGGCCTTTGAAAGCTTTTGCTGGCTATATGCAAAACAAAAAGAATCAGGAGAGTTCATTACAGAAATACTGAACTCACTGGTCAGCAGAACATGCACATTTAGGTACTGCATAATAAAACACATGATCCCGTCTTTTGTCTGCAGAACATTTGTAGCCTCATCAGCTAAATGAGATGTGAGGAGTGATTTCATTATTTGTACTACCACAAAAGGAGTGGTGGACAGCTGTGGCCAAGTATCTGTACTTGGGAGAGTATTTTATGAAACACACAGGCTGCTGTTTTATGAAATGCTTCTATGAAATAAAAAGGTACAGTGCCCCAATCTTTACACTAAGAGCTCCCGTGATCTCTAGTCTTCCTTCATGTCCACTTTCCTGTTCTCTTGCAAGGAGAAAGGTGTGATATTTCAAAGAAAGTCAGCTGCTTGCTGATTCTCGTAAGTGCTTCTATTCATGAACTGTTTTTAATTTATTTTTGTAGAAATACTAGCATTACCATTAATTTAAAAAATAAAAATTACAGAAGCGATCTGATTAGGCATTGTTTGAACATCCAGAAATGAAAAGCTAAGAATGGAGACATTTTCCTCTTGTGTTGTTCGAAAGGACTGAAGTTAGGTATTGCGATATCCTAGCATGGTATTAGATTACACGTGCAGTAATTAATTTTGCCAAATACAGTAGAATGAAATTATGCACAGAAAACTATATATATAGTTTAAATATGTAGCCTTTCATTTAAAAACATTGTGGGATGACTTGGTTTGGTGGGGGTTGTTTTCTCTTTTTTAAGATGATGGATGTGCATTTCCATTGTTTTCAACTATTTCTCTTGAAATATCCATTGAATACCAATTCCAGAGCCCACGGAAGTAATTATTTGGGTTACATTCAAAAGTTAACAGCACGCTGTGTCCATAGAGAAAAATGATTTGTTTATTTTAAACCTGCAGATTTGTCTCTCTGTCGTTTCAGAAGTTGGGACTAGGTTTGGGGAAATAAAAGTTTCCAGAGCTCTTTTTCTTCCTAGGTACTTCAGATGTGACATAATTAGAAAAATGACTATCGGTCCTGACAATTCTAGAACTTCCAGATCCCTCTGTCAGGAAGAGAATATAATACAGTAGCACTGGCAAAATACTGGTCTGAGAATCAAAGATTTGAGGATTTATGAATTCTGCAGTACATTCAGAATTAGGAGAAAGCAACATAAGTGGGGCCAGAAGAATTTTGTGTAGGGCTAGTTCCCTGATTCTAGCTGCATGTTTGAGAAAATTTTGCAAATACAAAATTTCAGTAGTATATCTCTGTATACTGTAAGGCTGTTAAGTTTAAAAGGGAGCAAGTGGTAGTACTAATTATTTCTTTGGGGTTTTTATTTGTTTGCTTGTTTGTTTTCAGTGGGGGGACTGACAACCTAGTTATATTTTGGGTTATAATTAAGTCTTGATAGTCTAAAACTGCATTATCGACTTAATTTTGGGTTGCCACGTAGCCATTAGATTTTGGAAAGGGACAGTTCCTAAGAATCTTGTGACTTTGTACAAGAGTATGTGGTAGCTTCTACATGGGCCTCAGATTTTGAAACAAGTCTTGTAGTCATCGGGGCAATGTTTTTTATTCCCGGTTTTCTGTAGTATTTATTTCTCTAGGAACATTTTATCTTAATTGTAGAGTTGTTTGGGAAAAGAGTTTGAGCAATTCAGTCTGGAAAGCTCCTGTTATACCTCTGTTTTCAAAGGGGTCTAGCATTTTGTTTCTTTTTTTCTGTAGTGCCTGATCACTGGTACTGCTGTTGTTAGGGTTAAGGTCATGGTTCTTTTTACAGCTTGGGAACCTACAGTCTCTGAATCTGTTTTACTGCTGGGCCAGCCCTTTAAGATAAGTCATACGCTGATGTTGGCCAAGGCAGGTGTGTTTTGCTTCCTTTATCATGGGAATTATTTTGGGAAAGGTTATAATACTCAGGTTAGGACGAGTGGTAGAGTTTGAGTTTGTGGAAGAGGTTTTAGAAAGCTGAAGTCAGTTATGGATGCAGGCTTGAATAAATAAGGCTTGTATTTATCACTGATCTGGATAAAGTGCTGCCTAATATCTGATTACAATTAGAGTCATGGTTGTGGTTATGCTTAAGGCTAATGGATATAAAGATTAGAGAGAGGAAACTTCACTTAATTCTTGAAGCTTGCAGCTAAGAATAAGACCAATATTATCATAGAATCATAGACTGGTTTGGATTGGAAGGGACCTTAAAGATTTGATTTGCCCTTGGTGAAGCCATGTTGGCTGTCACAAATCACCTTACATTCTTCCAAATTCCTTAGTGTAGTTTCCAAGAGGATGATCTATGATCTATGATCTATGATCTTCCCAGGCGCAGAGGTGAGGCTGACCAGTTGGTAGTTCCTAGTGTCTTCCTTTCTATCCTTTTTAAAAAATGGGTGTGATCTTTCCCTTTTTCCAGTCACACATTGATATTGAGCATGTATTTTTCTCTCTGATATAGAGATTTGTCATGTCTGTTACCAAAGTTAATTAGGTTTGGAGTTAAGATTTGGAAACTTTGTGAAGATGAGTTTATGTTGATTTTATTCACTGCCTGACTTCAGTCTCTGTCTTGTCCAGTTCTTACATACCACTGCACTTTTGGATTTCCTTTCTAAGCATATCTATTTATTTTTCTCAAAGGAGGTCCCTGTACACAGCTGACAGGACTGCTCAGTCTCTGATGGTTGCAAACTACATTGCCTCTTCACTCACTCCATCAGACAGTTCTCTGAACCAGTCTTATACCACTGAACACCTTTGTACATGCCCATGGTATGCAACCCACATCTTTGGCATTACACTCTACAAAGACCTTTTAGCCACCTGTGCTCATTAATTTAGCAGTTCACTTACAGAAAATTCTGTCTCAGCATTGCATAGGTAACATATAGGGATTAGTGAAGAACCAGGCCAAGTGCTTTGCAGTCCTTTCATGGTTGGATTGCTCTAGAAGGGTTAGTCCTGAATAATGCGAAGCAGAGCTAATGCATACCAATTGGCTAGAAGTCTCTAAGTGTCAGCAGAAAGGATTTTTTGAATTACTTCCAGAAATCAAACGAATCTCCTGAGCGATTCTGAAAAACAGTTTTATTAGAGGACTTTCTCTGTTTAAAACTCCATCCATACTCCTCAGCTACCTTAACACTGTTTAAATATATATATATATATAATAAAATAAATAAAAAACTAACTCTTTTATATATAGTGTGTACCTTAGAAGCATAGATTTTTCTATAAAAATATTTAAAAACATATTTATAGAAAAAAAATATTGCTCTCTGAAGGCTTTTTGACATCTACCTCCCTGAAATCTTGTGCAACATTATTAAAATCAGTAGTGTTAGATAATCTACAAGGAAGTACTTAGTCCAGGTGCTTCACATATCTTCACTTCAACAAGTATTTTTACTTCTGCATATTTCAAGTACATATGATTTTATTGGAAAAAAAAAAAGAAGAATGTAATCATACTTTTTTTTTTTCTGATCTAAGACCTGCTTGATCTCTTTCTTTTTGTTTATTTTAGCTGCAGAATTCCTTGAAAAGTGATTTGTGCCTTGATCAAGGGCCAGACACAGAGAATATCCCAATCATGTATATCTGCCATGGAATGACACCACAGGTTAGTTTGGCTAATGATGTCGCGTATATTGCTGCTGCTTTTTCTAGACTGATTAAGAGGAACCGTCATGTACCTGTCACTGTTTTCCTGCAACAAAACCTCCTTATGCTGTTTAGTATCTCTATTACAGAAAGCTAGAAAATTAATTCTGCCCTAAGTTAGGAATTACTGACATAGTAACACTTTGATAATGAAGTTTGTTCATTCATTCTGAAAGAATTTAAGAAATATGAGAGTCAGCATTGACACAGTTTTGTTGATAAAAAGTTTTCATTTCTGATGTGTGTGGTATGTGAATGACAATGCATTTTAAAATACTTTATGCACATACATGAGTATATTCATAGTTTATACATTATCTGAAACATCTTTACTTGATATGTTTACTGTCTCATTTTCAAAAATCTGAAATGTACAGCCCCCTTCTTCACTAATGTACAGCCCCCATCTATGTCAAAAACCAAAACCCAATCACCAAATCTCTTTTTTTAAACCTCCTTTTTTTCTTTCTCTGCTGTTGTTCTGTTACTCTAGTATGTGCCAAAGACTAAAATTACCTTCTATTTTCTATTTCTTTCTATTTTCTTACATAACATTAGTATTTATTAACTTGGCAAACAAGAGGATAAAAGCTCCCTGAGTAGCCAAGCATCTGGGCATAGGTGAAAGCGTTTCTAGGCAAATCCTGACAGTAATAGTTACTATTTTGCATCATCTAGAACATGCTTGTTAAAGTCAGATGTGCAAATTATGTAACACTGAAAAGTAACATATGCAAAAGTGGCATAAAGAAAATGTATGTATTTGTGAAAATGATTGGAGCCTCTGAAAAATCCCTCTAGTTTGAATTATTTTTTTCTTTGACAACCTCATTTATTTTCTCAGAAGGGGCCCTATTGTGCTCTACTTAAATAATGTAGTTTTAGCAATGAAATTGTCAGTTATGTGTATTGACAAAACAGTAAACAAATGATCTTAATATTTTAGATATAAACTTTGAGCAAAAAAGTAATCTTGTCCTCTGTACCTGGATATCTTATCTGGAAGCATGAATTTGGTAAAATGCAGGTGAGATTCTGTACTTCCTTGCCGAGTTTCACATGCTATAACTGTGTTTTGTAGTGACTTCCTTTGTGAGGGCCTTTAATATTGATCACTAGTGACATCATGTTTGAGTAAGTTATGAATGATAAGGACAAAAATATCTGAATATCCCATCCATCAGACCCATTCATTGCAGGGGCTGTAGCTTGTCACATAATTACGTAGTACCCACTGTTTGCCTCCAGGATGTTTTTAAGCTAGTCCTTAGCGTTAGCTAAGGAACTGTGTAATTCACTCAGAAGCCAGAGCCATTTACTAAATCTTTTGGGATGGTTCTCTAACTCTATTCTGGCATATCATCTGTGATGGTAACACACTACAGTCATAGTTGTAAAATCCAACTAGAAATTTTAATTATAGTGAAGAGGCAAACAACAATAACAACAAAAAGTTGCTTCAGTAAGCACAGTTCAGTATTCACCAGATAAAGAACTACCTTTGAATGTCAGCTGAAGTTCAGGATAAGTGAGATAGTGATGAATAAATGACAGAGGGAAAAGGGAAAATTCTGTAGATAAGATTCTGATCCTTTCATAATTACAATATGGACTGTGTCTCCTTCCCGTTACTATATATATTTTGTAACAAATGGTGATTAAAACAACAACAACAAAAACATGAATATGGCACATATACAAGCCAGATCCTGGTAACGAGTGAAAACTGTAAGAGCACAGTCTTTTCTCTGTGTTACAATTACTTTAGAAATAGGGAAAGCTCTAACAAAAAATATTTCTCATACTTCTAAGAGAGATCCATTGCACATACACAAGCAGAAATACAGCCACATGCATTTCCTCTAGCATATCAGAAATATTTGAATAAATATTCCTATTTAATCTTAGTGAACCTGCTAGTAAGTACAAAAGACACAGGTAAGATGTTTGCTGTATTCTAGTAGTGGCGAAATGTTGTATGAAGGGGATTACTTAGCTCACTTGTCAGTCCTTACAGAAACAACTTAGTCAAAAAGTTTAGTCTTACAGTTCAGGAGTGTTTATATGACTGAAGGTTTTGGTGAAGCTGGTACTAGTTCTGGTGCAAAGCTTTGCTGTCACAGCTATACCACTTACTTTTTCAGAGCTAGATCTGGCTGCCAAGATCTATTTCCTCCAATGCAGTTTAATCTGTTGTTTGTAGTTATTGCTATAGCCTCTCTTCTAAGCTGAGTAACTTTTTTTTTTTTTTTTACTTTTTTTCCTCCAATACTCTCTTTCAAATGTTTTTGGATTCTTAGCTTTCTGTGTGGGAAATAGCTTAGATGAGCTATTTGACATCAACTAATCGTTTCTGGATTGTATATATGGATAGTTTTCTTTCAGCATGTTTCATTCACTGAAGAAAAAAGGTAACTGTGTACCTGCCATAAAGAACGTACTTCGTCTTTTGCAGACAATATTGAAAACAGAGTAATATAGTTTACCAGCAGTAGTTAAAACAGGTTCCTACTATACAGCAGTGGTGGTGAAAAATGTTGCTTTAGTTGTATGAAACATAGCTCAGAGGCTAAGCACAATGGCCTGCAGTTCTTGGCCAAAGACGGGTGTACTGGATACAGACAGCCTGGGGGGATGTAAAGAAGCAGATCCCCTTCCATGTGATGATAGAGGGAAACTGGAAAACTGGGAGATGTGGTAGACTGGGAAGGGAGAAGGTGACAGGAGAAGGTGACAGTTCAATTCTTGAACTTTAAGGAGCAAAGCCACTCTTCAGTCATACGTTTAGACCTTAAAGAGCTCTATTTCCAGCAGTGCCCGTTTTGCATGCAGAAGTTGATTGCTTGTAGCTGCAGTAAGAACATGCCCCAGGCTCAAGTGAGTTCTCTTCCTAATTCTGGGAACTGTCTGGGCCTGAATGTTTGGTGTTGTTTAAGACCACTGTTTAGTCAGGCCTGCAATCTTAAAGGCAGACTGGTGACAGTATGTCACTTGCATTAAATCTTCTCCTGAGTATTTGGAAGATTCTTTGCTTAAATGAAAAACCACATTATTAGAATCTTTATGACTGTTGGATAATAAACAAGTACCATCAGTCAATGATATGGTAAGTTTTAAGTCCAGATTTACATTGAAAAGTGCTTGGGACTGAGGGGAAAATGGGCATTTCTGTGTCTTCCCTTGTTCAGTTGCTTCTGGCTCATATCTTTCTCAACTGATAAGCAGTTAAACCAGGAATCCCATCCAAGGATGTGAAAGTCAATATAAAACAGTTAGATTGTGAGGAACTCAAGTTGAGGACCAGTGTCAGAAGACTAGATTGGGTGGGAGAAGTACTAGAAAAGAAATGCAGGTGAGAAGGGACACCCACCCATTCGTATTCTTTCATGTTCTTGCAATAGATTGCAGAACTGACACTCAGAAACAAATGACTACAGCCCTATCCTATGAATTATTGCTTCTCTACTGAAAGCAATGGAAGAAAGCCATGCCAATAAGCAGAGCTGTGCCAGCTTACACTGCATGAGGCCCTGACCTGAAAGCTTCATGTTGCATTCTAAGCACAGCGTGTGAAGTACTGGAAGCAGCAGTTACAAGAACTCTCTTGAGCTTCTAAAAGCTCTTTGTATGATTTATGAGTGCTCCTTTTTAAATGTTATTCATGTATATTTTCATAAAAACTAATTTTTCTTCAGTGTAATTTTTTAGCATGGTGGTTGTTTGTAGACAGATACTTGTTAATTTGTAAACAAGAACATAGTAAAAATAGCTATCACTGAAGGCATTTTTACTCAGTAAAAAAGTACAGGATTGGTCACAAACAGCAGTTATTTGGTGAACCCCAATTTGTAAACTCCTGGAGAGGGAACCATTTGTAGATATTCATCAAGTAATTACCAAAATAATTAAAATAGCTTGGCAAGCATCTTGGAGGGGGAAAAAAAAAAAGCGAAAGAAAGAGAAAGAAATCTGATAGTTTATTTTCAATGAGTAATGTAGACATCTCCAGAGCAAAACTAATGTGATCTTCAGCTAATTGAGACATTACAAATATAAATATCTCAAAACTGAGTTTTAATAGAGCCTTAATTGTACTAAGTCTGTTAGTGTGAAAATTTTTCTTCAAATCCCCGTGTCTAGTAAGATTTGCATTGTGTTGGACAATCATCTCTGCTAGGAATGCTAGGAGAATAACCATGTACTTTGTTAGAATGAGCATTAAGAGAATTTGGAAGCAGAAGCACTAGCCCTCTTAGGAGTGCCTTTCTGTGTATCTGAAGTACTCTGACCAAGAACCATTATAAACCATACTATAATGAGAAATTAACAGATAAAATATGATTATATCCTTCCCTACGGTTCAGTCTTCCCATGGCACCTTTCCGTTTGCTTTAAAAATAAAATCATGGAAGTACTGATGCTGCTTTCCCCTGACAGTCTCGATTCTGCTGCCAACAGTGCACCACAATACTGCTGTCAAGAAAAGTATTAGATAAGGGAATTTCTGAAGTTTGAGAACAGCATATAGCTGGGATGACTCAGATCTCTAGATGGCTTATGGATGAATACCTGTGTTTTTTCTCCTGCAGTTGCAAATTAGAGAAATAATAATTATTCCAGACCCAAAATACAGCATTCTTAGAAAATATAATGACATACTTGCACTTCATATATATATATTTTTTTTTTTTACTTTTTTTTCTATGTGGAAGTAGGGCCGTGTTTTTATGCGAGTGTGTGAAACATGTAAGTGTTGCAAAGTAAGGCTCTTGTGTAAGAAAATCATGAACCAGATGGCCCCACATTTAGCAGCCACTGATACTAGCACGTTTCACGAAATAATGAAGAGAAAAAAGCCTGCTGATTTGGATCGATGATTGACCCTTCAAACTTGAAAAATCACTGCCCTGAAGATGAAACATACAATAAACACTTTCAGGGAGCTTTTTCTAAGAAAGA